ACACACACACACACACACACACACACACACACACACACACACACACACACACACACACACACAAACAGCCACTGTGCCAGAGGATATTACATGCAGCGTCTGACACCTCTAAATAAGTGTTTACTCTTCGTGTACGTGTGTGTTGGAGTGTGTGTATTTGCTTTTGCATTTTATTTTTCCCTTTACTGTCGCCTCTCCATCTATGATCATGTGTGTGTGTGTGTGTGTGTGTGTGTGTGTGTGTGTGTGTGTGTGTGTGTGTGTGTGTGTGTGTGTGCCCGACAGCAGCAGGACTATGAAATGTATCCAGAAAGATCATCACCTATTCCCAGCGTCTACACGGTGCGCTCCTTCGTTAGCATCAGCAGCATGTAATGTGATTCCTTGATGTACAAATGTTCTTTTGAATCTACAGCATTTTCATTGCGTGTTTAGGCAAATGATGTGTCATTTAACTGTGTAATGATTTTAGTTAAGAAAAGGAAATGAAATGTGAATTGAATCCTGTCTGATGTAAAGTTTATAGAGATTTGGGATAAAACAAACCAATTCTGCTGTAACGTTAAGTAAAAGCAATTATTTTATGGTTTTGTATTTATTTGTATTTGATTGCCTCGAACACAAAATAAATTCAAATATGAACTTGAACAATTGTTTGGTATTCAGCTTTCAAAAGCACTGAGCTGTTCATGTGTGTGTGCGTGTGTGTGCCTGCATGCACCCACGTGCATACATGTATCTCAGTCTGTCTGCAAAGAGATTTTAATAAGACAGAAAAGAGGGGGTACAGTAAATCCTACATCTGAGCAAACTCATCTCTGAGACCCGAGGGTGCCGTGCTGTGATTGACAGGCCTCCTTTCACTGGCGCAGTCGGACGCGGGACGGATTAGGGCCGTCTCGCCCTAAAGGGCCATTGTGGCTTCACGTCTCCCAGCTGCTTCACCGCGCACCCCACACCACGGCTAAGGAGGGGCTTCTGAGCGTGAGTGTGTGTGTCTGTGTGTCTGTGTGTCTGCGTAACAAGGCGAGATGGTTTGTTTGGCATGCGTTTGCTTGACCTTCTGTTGTAATTCTCTGAGCTGTTAAAAAAAGTAGGATGTCACCACAGTGTCAAAACTTTGCGCATGCTGTTTTATTGTTGAATACATCAAGATTTTTACACTTATAAACCGAATACATTCAAAGCTTCAAAAGAAAATCTTTATGGTTTGGCTTTGTGTTAACATTTTTTATGAGGAGTTTAGACATCCTTTTAGCAAGAACTCAAGCTTTATTGAATGTTTTTTTTAAGAACAATCAAATTTATTTCACATCCTTTCAACGTGTTACTTATCTGGATTTTGACACTTACCTTAAGATGGTATTTCATACCTCGTTTAAATTTAAAGTTTAATATGACAGGTAGCACTAAAATCCCTTTACGTCCCAGGTGTGTTGCTGTGCCTGCAGCCTCACCTTCCCTCTCGTGTGGTGTCCTCAACTCCAGATGTGCAATGTACATTGGCCTTAAATCTTAAAACTACTGACATAATTATCACTGTGATGGATGGCTCCTGTTAAACTGGTTTTGTTGCCCTTTTTAAAAGCATAAAAACGTTCAACTGCGTGCTACCCCTGCCAGTTTTACAGGCTTGGATTTATTTGTACTAAGACTAGAACCTTTAAAATCTTATCATCACATGTACAAATTAAAATTTCTCAGCTTCAGGCTTAACGCCCTTATTAAAGGCAAAAGGCAACTCCTAAAAATATGAATCATTGTGTTCAAGTTCTGAAAGCATATGGGAGGAATTATCAACCATAATGAACCAAAGAGTTAGAATGCAGTGTAAAATGTAAAACTTTTTCAAAACTGCAAATGTTTTGGGGTTTTCACATTCTTAACTTCATGATCTATGGTAACTACCATAATTAAATATTCATTTATACAAAGAACAARACTGAAACCAGCTCTGGGTGATTTTGGTCCTTGGGCCTTCACTAAAATTAAAAAAAACACAGTTTTATGTTGAATTCATTGCTTGAGCTAAGTAACATTTCAGAAATTTTAAATCCATTATCAAAGAACATAGATTGTTACTAAATCAAACAACTGCAATTTCAAACTCTGTCATACAAAAAAGAAACAAGATGCAGATATTTAGTTGCTTTCTGTAAGTTTTATTTGGGAATTTTCTGTGGTCCAAAAAATTTCACAATAAAAGTGAATGCAAAAAGTTGCAGACATGTAGGGTGCAGTGGTATAAAAAAGATTATAGAGCTGCCTAACATGTTTTCAGCTCGGTGGAAAGGAAGGAGGTCACATGGGAACTCTGCAAAAGCAACAGTGCTGCTGAACCATGAATAYAGCCTGTGTCCAAATTCAGGGGCTGGCTCCTTGGTCGACCCCGAAGACTGGAAAAAAAGTGACTGTGAACTTGGAGGGTCTAGTCTTCGGCTTCATTCCCACCCTTACCTTACCAACGAAGCAAAAAATAGATCGAAATGAACAAATATCAATATGTTAGTATTATAAACATCACAAAACAAACTAAATTAGCTTAAAGGCAATATTTGAAGAACTAATGAACCTGCTGTAGGTGTACGTTTGTTTTGGCTCTACCAGCTCATTTGATTTCTGACAATAATAATAATAAAACACATGTCTATACAAATGACAAAGYATTTCCAACACAACCCCTTGAAACTTGTAAATTTTATACTGCCCAGGTGTTTATAAAAAATGTACTCCTTCAACAATCTCAGGCGCAGTGCTGTGACGTAGGCGGACGGCCCTTCGGAGGACACAGCCTCTGAATTTGGACACAGCCGTAGATTCAACTTATGCTGCCATCCAGACTGTTTTTTTGGAACACTGTTCAGCAAGAAAAAGCCTAACCTGAGTCTGATTCTGCATGTTTAACAACAACACGACTCTGTCATTTAAATAAGGATATAAAAGACAATTTAACATTGTAAAAATCTTTCAGTCAAAACTTCCTTTTTAACATTAAACTCCTTCTCTTCTTGTATTTAGTCCCATATTGAATAGCTTTAAATGAATACAATGTTTTCATTTAAATCAACTGAATGCTGTTTTCACACTTTTAGATAAAAAAAGGTGGTTGAAACCTAATGCAGAGCACTCTTGAATGGTAAAAACACAACAGAGTGTTTCAGTGAGTGTGTGCATGCAAGAAAGAGATATTGTACTACAGGCAAATGTGTGCCAGTAACATGACCTTTTCAACCTCTTTGCTTCTTCCCTGGGGTTTCCCATCCGTTTCCAAAGAGGCCTTGTAGGGAGTGCCCATCATGGGGGATCCTTCAGGGTTTATGAGGCCCCTGGCGTGGATGCTGAGCAGGGCGGGCTGCCACTGCAGCAAAGCTGGCACCGGGTTTTGGCAGGAAAGAGAAAGCCTGAAGCTTGCCACATTCCTGCTGAGATTCTCCCAGGCAATTAGACTGCTGCATCAGGAGAGAAACGCAGAGGGAAACTGAGCAGGACCAGTGATTGGCAAAGTTCACCAGTTTGTATTGACGCTGCAGTAACCAAGCAGCTGGATGTAAACAGACAAATTGTTTCTGGTTAACGCGGGTACACTGCTAGCAACCCCTTCCAGCTCTACTTGTTAGTATTTGTTTTCAAAGTGTGCTCGATGTGATAAGTCCTTGAAAGAATGGCCTTGATGTGATTTGTGCAAAGGGTGGAAAAAAAAAAAAAAGGTTGCCCTCCTTCTATCCATGTCCCTGTCACCCCCAGCGGAAAAAGGAGTGGATCACCCTCACTCTCACTGTCTCTTTTCCTTTCTCCCTTCTCCATCTCTCCGTCTGATGAAAGAAGAACTATGATCACTTCGACAACAAAGGGCCCTGCTGCTTGTGTTTGGATGAGGCTCTTCTTCTCTCCTTCCTTCTCCTTCTGTATCTATTTCTTCTAAACCCGTCTGATCTCACTTACTCTCTCCTTCCTCTGTGCCCCCACCCACCCCACATCCCCCCCGTCCCTCGTCCACTCCCTCCCTGCCTGCTCTATCTCTTGCTGCCTGATGCCACTCTCCAGTTTTGCTCCTCCATTCTTCGTTAGGGCCTCAGCGATACAATCAGGGTATGGAATTAAAAATCAGAAAGTGTCCTTGTCGAAGAGACACCCCGGTTGGTGCACTTTGATGTCTCCTCTGAAATTTGAAATTCATATGTTGTCACACTTGATTTTATTCCCTCTCTCTCCCTCACTCACTCTCTCTTTTAGCATTTTCCTTTTTTTTTCATCTTCCTCCTTTCTGTCAAGTGCCATCATGTACTATTCAGCGATGAAGAGAGAAACGAGAGAAATAGAGAAATGTACAAAGCATTGTAAAAACGTCTTCCTTAAGTCTTTTCTTGTCTTTTTTATGTTTTTACTTAGTTAAGAAGGCGGGGAGAGATAATGAATCATTCAATTTCCCTTTGAATGTAGGTGCTGGGGTGCGTGGGTTTAGAGGTAGAAGGCAGGGAGTAAGGGACCACAGGATGGGGTGGTGATGTGCCGGCAGGCCACTTTGATGCCATTTCAGAGCAATAAAGTTAAAGCTATTTGACAGGGTGAGTAAAGTGGGGCTGCCACACACTACACCTCACAAAATCAGATTGACACCCAAGATTTTGTGATAACAACCTTGTCTGACCTCCACAAACACATCAAATGCATCTATATTTCTATTTTTTTTGTTTCCTCTTATTGAAAATATGTCTTTATTTTTATTAACGAACTGAAAATTTGTTGAGGTTGGGAGACTGGGACGAAGAGATTCAACACAATCTTTAGATTGATTAGTTTTTGTTCAGTGCCCTGAAAGGATGTTTGTTGTGACTTAGTGCTGTATAAATACACTGAAGTGAAATTGAAATTAAAGAAATATCATGTCTATATATGAGGATGGGGTTTTCTTGGTTTGGTGAGAACCTTAAAATAGACATATGATGCTTTTATTTCCTTCTTTTTCTACGTTTAAACCATTCAGCTGGGGTCCAGCTTATTTGGCAGTTCTGTTGTAATTACCGTGACATGATGGTTCAGAAAACGCCAAAGAAAATAGAGAAAATTGAACGGGTTAAAAAATATGACCCAAACAGTATATAAAATTATCTACAACAGCACCAGGATAAACTAAATTAACAGGTACTAAAAAGCATGAAAACATAACCCCGGTCCTGGCTTCTCTCCATTGGCTTCCTGTTCACTTGAGAATTGATTTTAAGGTTTTATTGATGTCTTTTAAAGTTTTTAATGGTCTGGCCCCATCATATTTATGCAATCTCCTTAACATCTACACTCCAGTCAGAGCACTTAGGTCTACCAACCAGTTCCTGTTAGATGTTCCTAGATCCAAACTGAAATGTAGAGGTGACCGGGCTTTTGCAATAGCTGCTCCAAAGCTGTGGAACAGTTTATCTCTTAGTATTCAGTCAGCAGAGACTGTTGAGGCTTTTAAATCTTTGCTGAAGATCCATTT